TTGTAGCCTGGTGCTTCCCTAATAAACTCCATAATCTGTGAGTTCTGTGTGGCCACTGCAGCGAATTATCAAACCCAGGAGAGAGGTGGTGGTGCTTTGGGAGGAACGGTTGGTGAAAGGGCTGGAGCTAGGCAGCATGTCTGCCTTGCAGTAATAGGCTTGGGTTACTGCTGGTAACTCTGTCTTCCTCTTGTAGGATTAGAGGAGGTCAGAACATGTGGCCTCCTTGCCGTTTTTGCAGAATGTAACTTGAAGCACTTACTGATGAAAATCAAAAAGTACAGCTTTCAGTATGGATTACACTTCAACATAAAGGAAACAAAAATCCTTGCAACTGGATCAATAAATATGGTGACTAGAGAAAAGTTTGAAGTTGTCAGGAATTTCATTTTGCTTAGTTCCACAATCAGAAACTCAGATGTTGTATTGCACTTGGAAAATCTGCTGCAAAAGACCTTTTTATTTTTTATTTAATTTTTGCAATGTTCCCTCCTCTTCTCTCCCACCTCTGGTAACCAACAAAGAAAGTTTCTTTCCATATATAAACCTTTCCTTGACTTTTTTACAATACTGAACTGAATATTTGTACTACTGTGATTGACTTCTTTCACTCAACATAAAGTCCTTCAGGTTCATCTACATTATGCAGTATTTTGCAGATTCTACGTTATTGTTTAGGGTTGCATAGTATTCTATTGTGTGTATGCACCATAGTTTGGTTATCCACTCTTCTGTTGATGGGCACCTACGTTGCTTCCATCTTCTTGCTATTGTAAATAGTGTTGTGATGAACATGGGTGTGCATAATCTGTTCTTGTCCTGGCTCTCACTTCTTTAGAATAGTATACCTAATAATGGAATAGCTGGATCAAATGGTATTTCTAATTCCAACTTTTTAAGGAATCGCCATACTGCTTTCCACATAGTGTATCATTTTACAAAAAGATCTCTTTAAAATGTTAAGGAGCAAAGATGTCACTTTGAAGACTAAGGTGTGCCTCACCCAAGCCATGATGCTTCATGTGTATGTATGAAAGCTGGGCAGTGAATAAGGAAGACCGAAGAAGAGTTGATGCCTTTGAATTGTGGTGTTGGAAGAGAATACTGAAAATATCATGGACTGCCAGAAGAACAAATAAATCTATCCTGGAAGAAGTGTAGCCAGAATGCTCCTGAGAAACAAGAATGGCCAGACTTCATCTCACCTACTTTGGTCATGTTGTAGGAAGTGACCAGCCCATGGAGAAGGACATCATGTAAAGTAGAGGATCATCAAAAAAGGTGAAGACCCTCATTGAGATGGATTGACACAGTGGCTGCAGTGATGGGCTCAAGCATAGCAAGGATTGTGAGGATGGCACAGTGTCTGGTGTTGTTTTCTTCTGTTGTACATAGAGTCACTGTGAGTCAGAGTTGACTTCTTATTGTTGTTGTTATGTGCCCTTGAGTCATTTCTGACTCATAAAAACCCTACAAGGACAAGAACAAAATAGTGCCAAGTCCTGTGCCATCCTCACAGTCATAGCCATGTTTGAGCCCATTGTTGCAACCATTGTCAGTCATTTTGTTGAGGTCTTCTCTTTTTCACTAACCCTGTACCCTGCCAAGCATGATGCCCTTTTCCAGGGACAGATCTCTCCTGATAACATGTCCATGAGATGTAGTCTACATGAGATGTGGTGTCATTATCCTCGCTTCTATCAGCTATTGAGGTGGGGGGATGTTTAAGTCCCTAAGTATTATTGTGGATTTGACTATTTCTTCTTTTAGTTATATCATTTTTGCTTTGTGTAATTTTTAGCTGTATTGGGAGCTCTGGTGGCATAGTACCTAACTAGACTGCTAACTAGAAGGTTGGCAGTTCAAACCCACCAGCCACTTCTTGGAAGGAAGGTTGAGCAGTCTACTTCCATAGTGATACCACCTCAGAAACCCAAGGAAGGGGTTGCTATGTGTTGGATCCAACACGAGGGCAGTGGGTTTGGTGGTTTGGGTGTCTGCTTTACAATTTTCGAAACGTTGTTGTCGTCATTACAATGTCTCTTTTTCCTTATGGGTTTAAGGCCTTTAAAAGCCTTTTACTGTCATTTTGATGAGGTTTCACTGGAAGTAATCACCTGTGTTCAATTCATTATCTCTAACTAAAATTCTCCCTTTCTTGGGCGGAAAAATAATTCAAAAGCTTACCTTGTCCATAAGACCCTTTATGATGTACCTTTTGCCTATCTATACCTTATTTCTCACTCCACTGTGACCTGCCCCCAGCTTAAACTCCGGCTACATGTTATCTACTTAAAAGATTCCCAAACCATGTTGCTTCATGCTTTTCTGTTTTCATTTCTCAGTGTGCTGTTTGTCCTTCAAAACTCTCCTCTTAAAGCTTTTTTGACTCAACCTGCATGCTCTCAGAATGTTTATTTCAATTACACACACACACACAAAAAAAAAAACCCCACTACTGTCGAGTTGGATCCGACTCATAGCGACCTCTCCTTGTGTTTCCAAGGCAGTATCACTACGGAAGTAGATTGCCCCAGCTTCCTTCCGAGGAGTGGCTAATGAGTTTGAATCGCCAGCCTCTGGTTAGCAGTCAAATGCCTTAGGCACTTCACCACCAGAGCTCCTATACGTGTGTGTGTGTGTGTGTGTGTGTGTGAGATTTTTTAAAAAATCCCACCCTAGATGTTCCTTATCCTGGAGAATATAGGTAGTAAGGCTCTCCATAGATCAGTGTCAGGAAATCTTAGAATGCTTTAAAAATATTTGCCAAATTTTGTGTTTATATGTATATCTTTGGAAAATTTTCCAAGGCAGGTTCTCTGCAAAATATAATTGCTTTGTGTTTCACTTCAGAGACATGCTGGTTATTGCTGACGTCAAGTCTAAGATAGATAGATTTTCAGAAATCTTCTTAAATGATTCTTTAGAATAGACAGCATTTCTGCCCATCATCTACATTAATTCTTGGGCTTGGTATGTAGTGATTCCTCAATAAATGTTTAAAGAAAGTTTGGATGAGGAATTTATGTTTAGGACATGACCTAAAATATATTTCCTGAGTGGAAGTGGAGATATCACGAATGTCCTCTGTTACGAAAATGAAGGTATAGCATCTAATTCCCCGTCTAGATGTAATTGGCTGAATAATAGATTCAGGATTATTTTTCCAAAGGCAGAAGAAAGCTTTGGAGAACTAGCTACCAGAATGAAAGAAAAACTGAAGGATTTATACATAGAAAAGTCAGATGTATGTAGTCTCATTTTTTTTCCCCAAAACTTTAGGCTTCTATAAATTTGGATGTCATAGATAACACTACTATATAAACCTGATTTCATAACTCATAAATTTAGTATATGGCTGTGGCAAATGGGGAAATTGACATGTTATTTTGGTTAAAAAAAAAAAAAAATACATACGATATTTTTGTAACTGTTTGAGGCTAAAGAAAGAGAGCAGAAAGAGCTTTAATTCCCTGGAATGCCAAGCTTTGTGTTTCTTCTCCATTTTTTTAAAGATGTTTAAATTAGAACTGTGTCCTCTAGTTTACTCTTAAGCCTATTTCACACAGACTGGAGATAACTCTATTTGTATGTGTTAAAGAAATGATTGGGGGTTTTTTGGTTTTTGCATTTTCTATTATTTTTATTTTGTTTTTCAGGTATTTAAGAGATTATGGCATCTGAAACCCACAATGTTAAAAAACGAAACTTTAGTAATAATATTGAGGATCAGTCCATTGATCTTCCTAGAAAAAGGAACTCCAATTTCACTAATAAGAACATGAAGGAGGTAAGTTCATGGTTTCTACAGAACAGATAAGACAGTTTAAACTGTCAGGGCTATGGATAGTTCTGATTAAATTTATTTAAACAATAGAAGGATAATAATTGTGCTTCAGGAATTAAGTAGAATTAGTGAAATGCTGAAAACCATTTCTATTCCTAAAACTCTGAGAGGTTTTTGCCTAGCATACTATTTTGATAGGATAAAATTTGAATATTTTAATAATTAAAGAAGGATCTCTAGGGTGTTTTTTGTTTAGCATTGCAAGACTCATTAACATTGATATAATTTCTTTTAAATCATTAAGATTCAACTAACATTGAGCAAGTGTTCTATTAATATGTGACTAGTAAGTAGCATGGAAAATAAAGAGTTGGATATGTTGCTTTACCACAAACCTACATAAAATGTTGTAACTAATGATTGAGACTACAGCATTAGAATAAAGAAAGCTTTAATCCGAAAAATTTAACTGTTGAATTTTAGATTTGTTGATGTCAATCATAAAGTTTATGTAACTTCGTTGAAGAACTTAAATATTCTATAACTCTTTACTTTGATTTTTCAGGTTAAGAAATCTCCAAAACAGTTGGCTGCTTACATAAATAGGTAAGTGCAGCTTTAAAGTTTGCGAGAAACAGAAAATACTGAATACTAGGGAAGAGTGAAAATAAGAGAAAAATAAATATTCTCTTTATATAATAATAGTTGCCTTATTATTATACAACTGTGTGCCAGGCACTATGCTTAATATATTATTTATATTATCTCTAATCCTTACTTAGAACAATTCTACTAGGAACTGTTACCCCTAATAGTTGGTGAGAAAACTAAAGCCCAGAGAAGTTAAGTGATTTACTCAGGGTCATACATCCAGAAAGGACATGGAAGTTGGTATAACAGAAAGTCAATAAAAATGAGGGAAACGCTTAATGAAATGTAGTGTGACTCATAGCCCAAACAGTGAACTCCAATATACCAATGATCATGAAGATAGCACAGGACCAGGTAGCACTTCATTCTCTTACACATAAGGTCTCATGGTTGGTAAAGTAGAAGGTCACAGAAAACAAGGGAAGCCCTCAATATGGATGCATTGACAGAACAGCCAAAACAGTAGGCTCAGATATGCTAAGGATCATGAAGATAGCAGAGGACCAAGCTAACTTAGTTCTGTTATACAGATAAGGCCACTATGAGTCCAAGCCAACTTGATGGGAACTAACAATAACAATATGCATCCATAAAGCAGTAAAAATGACATTCTTTCTCAAAGTGATCTTAGGACCTCAGGGGTCCTGAGGCCCTTTTAAGGAGTTTTTGAGGTTAATCCTGTTTTCTAAATAATATAAGACATTATTCACCTTCATACTCATTTTCTTACAAGTGTACAACAGAGTTTTTCAGAGTTTACATGACAATTGATATTAAATAGGTTGAATGCAGAAACAAATATAAGAATCCAATTGTCTTCTGTTAAACCAGATATTAAAGACTGGTAAAAATGTAAAACAGTGCCATTTTTCTCACTATTTTCCCCCCATTTTGGAATATATAGTTAAAGAATTCGGAGACCAAAAGTTTGTTGTTGTTATTCTGACTAATAGCAACCCTGTGTACTACAGAATGAAACGCTGCCCAGTCCTGTCCCATCTTCACAGTAATTGCTATGTTTGAGCCCATTGTTACAGCCACTGTGTCAATCCATCTCCTTGAAGGTCTTCCTCTTTTTGGTTGACTCTCTACTTCACCAGGCATGACATCCTCCTCCAGAGGTTGGTCCCTCTTGCCATCCTTGCTTCCAAGGAGCATTCTGGCTGTACTGTTTCCAAGACAGATTTGTTTGTTCTTCTGGCAGCCAATTATATATTCAATATTGTTTGCCACCACCATGATTCAAAGGCATCAATTCTTCTGTAGTCTTCCTTATTCATTGTCCAGCTGTCACATTCATATGAGGTGACTGAAAATACTATGACTTGGGTCAGGCTCACCTTAGGCCTTTAAACACTTTAAAGAGGTCTTTTGTGGCAGATTTGCCCAGCGCAATAATGTATCGTTGCATTTCTTGACTGCTGCTTCTGTGGATGTTGATTGTGGATTCAAGTAAAATGAAATCTTGACAACTTCAATATTTTATGCATTTATCATGATGTTGCTTACTGGTCCAATTCTGAGGATTTTATTATTATTATTATTCCATACTGAAGACTGCAGTCTTGATTTTTATCAATAAGTGCTTCAAGTCCTCTTTGCTTTTAGCAAACAGTGTTATATCATCTACATATTACAGATTCTTAATGAGTTTTCTTGTAATCCAGATGCTGCATTCTTCTTCATACAGTCCAGCTTCTCAGATTATTTGCTCAGCATATAGATTGAATAAGTACAATGAAAGGATACAAACCAGGCACACAATTCTCCTGATTTTAAACCACACAGTAGCCCCTTGTTCCATGTGAATGACTGCCTCTTGGTCTATGTACAGGTTCTGCATAAGCACAATTTGTTCTGGAATTCGTATTCTTTGCAATGTTATACATAATTTGTTACAATCCACACAGTCAGTGCCTTTGCATAGTCAGTAAAACACAGGTAAACATCTTTTTGGTATTCTCTGCTGTCAACCAAGATCCATCTTACATCAGCAGTAATATATCTTATTCCACATCCTCTTTTGAATCTGGCTTGAATTTCTGGCAGTTCCCTGTTGATATACTGCTGTAACCGTTTTTGAATTATCTTCAGCAAAATTTACTCGTGTATGATATTATATTGTTTGATAATTTCTTTGAAATGGGCATAAATATAGATCTCTTCCAATTGATTGGCCAGGTAATGTCTTCCAGATTTCTTGGCATCAATGAGTGAGCACTTCCAATGTTGTATCCACTTGTTGAAACATCTCAGTTGGTTTCCATCAGTTCCTGGAGCTTTGCTTTTCACCTATGCCTTCAGTGCAACTTAGATTTCTTCCTTCAGTACCATTGAGTCTTGATCATATGCTACCCCCTGAATGGTTGAACATCCACCACTTCTTTTTGGTATGGTGACTCTGTATGCTTTCTGTCTTCTTTTGTTGCTTCCTGTGTTGTTCAATATTTTGCCTATAGACTTCTTCAGTATTTCAGCTCAAGGCTTGAGTTTTTCTTCAGTTCTTTCAGCTTGAGAAATGCTAAGCATGTTCCTTTGGTGTTCTAACTCCAGATCTTTGTACATTTCATTATAATACTTTCCTTTGTCTTCTCGCGCTGCCCTTTAAATATTCTGTTCAGCTCTTTAACATCGTCATTTCTGTAATTCGTTAACGGCTGCTCTAAGTTTCAGAGTCTCATCTGGCATCCATTTTGGTCTTTTTTTCTTTCCTGTCTTTTTAATGACCTTTTACTTTCTTCATGTATGATTGATTCCCTTGATATCATCCCACAACTCATCTGGTGTTCGTCTTTAGTGTTTAATCCATCAAATTTGTTTTTGAGATGGTCTCTATATTCAGGTGGTATATACTTGTAGTTGTACTTTGCCTCTCGTGGACTTGTTTTAATTTTCTTTAGCTTCAGCGTGAACTTGCAAGTAAGCAGTTGATGGTCTGTTTCAAACCCTACCTTTGGTCTTGAGTGACGATATTAAGCTTCTTCATCATCTCTTTCCACACATGTAGACAGTTTGACCCCTGTATATTTTATCTGGTAAGGTCCATGTGTACAGTTGCCATTATGTTATTTAAAAAAGTAATTTCCATTGAATAGGTCACTGGTCTTGCAAAATTCTCTAGTGAGATCTCCAACATTGGTATCATCTCTGTCACCAAGACCATCTTTTCCAATTGCTGATCCTTCTTCATTTCCAGCGTTTATATTCCAATCACCAGTAATTATCAGTGCATCTTGATTGCATGTTTGATCA